CCACCCGCCGTCCACCCTCCCGCCCAGCGCCCGCCCATGTCGCAGTTCTCAACAGATAGCCAGGCTTTTCCAAGCCAAGATAAGCCATCAAGGAGGGGTAGACAAGGTAGATGTCAGACGTGTGACAGGGTATGCTATATCAGGTTGAGTGACGATAATGTGCGCCTTCATTACCACAACAGAGCCAGGTGTTTGGGTTCTGGGCGCCCTCCCAGGGAGAACACCAATGTACAGCCCACACCACCCGTAAGGCAAAACACCTCCCAGACCTTCATTCCCACAAAAAAATTATTAGAAGCTATCAAAGCAACATCGGCCAGAACCTTGCAACACATCCCTAAAGCAGCCCGCCCCCATGCAGCAGCCAAATTATCTGTCCTCCTGAGAAAGGTCAACGACTCTCCTGGAACGACCCAAGCATGGCACAACCTCCTAATGTTTGGCAACATATGTCTAGCCACCCCTGCAAGGAGAGACAAAACCTTAGCTGCCTCAGTCATCAAAGCTATAAATGATTTTCCCAGGGAGGACAACCAGGTGCGCCTTCCCACTCGCGCGAGAAACACCCACGGCAGGAAGAGCAACAGTGGCATATCCGAGACATCAAAAATCAGAACATCAGTCACCAAGAAAATAGAAGAAGGAAACACTATTGGCGCAATACGAGTCATCACCAGTGAGGACTCAATTGCCGACAGAGATGCCGCAACAGCTCAAGCCCTAAGGGAGAAACACCCACCCAGGGCTCCGCGTGAGGACAACATTGTACAAGTGGGGGCTACCGGAACAGAACCTCTCTGGGTGGCTGAATCTGTGGTCCATAAAGCAGCCATGTCCTTCCCTACAGGATCAGCAGGTGGGTTCACAGGACTAAAACCCAACCACCTCAAGCAAATGCTCAACCCTGCACTGGGTGACATTGCAAAGAACCTCTTGGTGGAACTAACCAGATTCACCAACATATGTCTAGCTGGTAACATACCAGCGTCCATAAGACCTATCTTTTTTGGAGCATCTCTCTGTGCTCTAAAGAAAAAGGATGGAGGGATCAGGCCAATAGCTGTGGGCAATTCTCTCCGGCGTCTCGTCGCAAAGGCAGCTGCAAGAACAGTTAGTGATGCAGCGGCCAACATGCTGAAGCCAAAACAGCTCGGGTTTGGCATTCCACAAGGGTGTGAGGCGGCAGCCCATGCAGCTCGAGCCTTCATCGCCAACATCACAGACGAAAACGCCCTTATCAAGCTAGATTTCAAAAATGCCTTCAATTTGGTGCGGAGGGATGCTGTACTCCGTGCGGTTCATAGTCATTTCTCTTCCCTCTACCCTTTTGTACATTCATGCTACAGTATGGATCTTAAGCTACTTTTTGGCGAACATGAAATTGACTCGCGAGAAAGCGTCCAACAGGGTGACCCCCTTGCTCCTCTCCTTTTCTGCTTAGTCATCAAACAAGTCACAGAGGTCCTGTCCAGCGAGCTTAACATCTGGTTCTTGGATGATGGTACCCTAGCTGGTTCCCAAGACTCATTCCTGGAGGACATCAGAAAAATCCAGGAGCAAGGTGCAGTTTTAGGCCTCACCCTGAACCCTTCTAAATGTGAAATAATATGTTCCAACTAGGGCATCGTAGAGAGAATAGAGGGTCTTCTGCAAAATATCCATAAAACTAAACCTGAAGACAGCACACTCCTAGGAGCTCCCCTGGGGTTGAAAGCCATCGATGAGGTCCTTGATAAGAAAATCGCCGACCTTAAGAGGATGGATGGGAGGATTGAGGATATTGATGCTCATGATGCACTCTACCTCATCACCAGATGTCTGTCCCTCCCCAGGTCAACCTACTTTCTGAGGTGTTCACCATCTTACAGTAGCCAAAAACTAAGTGAGTATGACCGGTTACTGAAATCAATGCTAGAAAAAGCCCTTAACCTCTCTCTCGATGACTTACAGTGGAAACAAGCCTCTCTTCCCGTAAGACTTGGGGGCCTCGGAGTTCGAACAGCAACGCAAATCGCTGTTCCAGCCTTCCTGTCCTCCTTATCAGCATCCGACGACCTTGTGAAGGAAATTCTACCTGCCCACTTACATCAGCTGGCAGGTGTACATGATCCCAATTTTACACGCTGTGCCACAGAGTGGGCCTCTCGTGCAGGCCAATCACCTCAACCACCATCCCCAAAAGCCCACAAGCAATCCAGCTGGGATGGCCCCATTGTAGACCAAGTTGCTGCAGAGTGCCTGGGTGCTGCAACAACACAACACGACATTGCTCGCCTCACAGCAGTAGAAGCCCCACATGCAGGGGATTTCCTGTTAGCAACCCCAATGTCGGCAACTGGCACGCGTCTCACACCACACGCCCTCCGAATTGCTGTGGCCCTTCGCCTTGCTGCCCCAATCCACACCAGATATAGGTGTATTTGCGGTGAGGTGGTGGCTGACAGGCACGGCCACCATGGCCTACTCTGCCAAAGCACAGGGGGATGGCACTCGAGGCACAGTGAAGTTAACGACATCATCAAGAGGAGCCTCACCACAACTGGATGCCCAGCTGAAAGAGAGCCCCGTTACCTAACGCCCCGTAGCTCTGATGCTCTTATTGGTCGCCCGGATGGTATCACAGTGAACCCCTGGAAGAATGGCAAGCAGTTGGTATGGGACTACACGTGTGTATCAACCCTGGCTAACACCTACAATAACCTCAGTGTTGCACAACCAGGTGGCGCTGCCACCCACAGGGAAGCGGCCAAATCCCGTAAGTATAGAGAACTGGATCACCACTACAATTTTGTCCCCATTGCTTCTGAGACTCTTGGCGCCTGGGGTAAAAGTGCTACCAGTTTTTTGAAGGAACTGGGTTCTAGGCTCATTGAAACAACAAGGGACCCAAGAGCTGCAAGCTTTCTTTTCCAGCGCCTCAGTCTGGCTATACAGAGGGGAAATGCGCACTGCATCCAGGGTTCCTGCTCGCCATCTGAGGAGCTGGAGGAACTCGACAACCTATGATAACCATCTTTGTAACCCATATGTAACTCCTTTTTTGTAACAAAGTTCAAATAAAGTATATATATATATATGTCGAAAAACAATTATTTCATGAAACTTGGCTTATTAGGCAAATCGGGCCTTGCATAGTAGGCTGAGAAGTGCGTTCTGCCTACTAGGTACGACATATATATATATATATATATATATATATATATATATATATATATATATATATATATATATATATATATATATATATATATATATATATGTCGTACCTAGTAGCCAGAACTCACTTCTCAGCCTACTATTCAAGGCCCGATTTGCCTAATAAGCCAAGTTTTCCTGAATTAATATATTTACTATAATATTTTTCTTATGAAATGATAAAGCAACCCTTTTCTCTATGTATGAGGTCAATTTTTTTTTATTGGAGTTAAAATTAACGTAGATATATGACCGAACCTAACCAACCCTACCTAACCTAACCTAACCTATATTTATAGGTAAGGTTAGGTTAGGTAGCCAAAAAAAGCTAGGTTAGGTTAGGTTAGGTAGGTTAGGTAGACGAAAAAACATTAATTCATGAAAACTTGGCTTATTAGGCAAATCGGGCCTTGAATAGTAGGCTGAGAAGTGCGTTCTGGCTATTAGGTACGACATATATATATATATATATATATATATATATATATATATATATATATATATATATATATATATATATATATATATATATATATATATATATATATATATATATATATATATATATATATATATATATATATTCCTAGTAACCAGAATGCACTTCTCGGCCTAGTATGCAAGGCCCGATTTGCTTAATAGGTCGAGTGATTTTCTTTATTTAAAAAAATCCAATCGGTTTATTTGAACTATTATTAGTATATTATATTAAGAAGATACATGGCCCCAGAGGCCCACATAAAAATATATAGTTCATTCATCGCCGTATGATAGATTGACGAACATAAGAACTGCCTTTAGAAACCTGTGTAAGGAATCATTCAGGACCTTGTATACCACTTATGTAAGATCAATCCTGGAGTATACAGCACCAGCCTGGAGTCCATACCAGTTAAAAACAAGACAAAATTAGAGATGATTTAGAGTTATGCCAGCAAACAAGTCCCAGAACTGAGAGGTATGAGTTACGAGGAAAGGTTACGGAAACTAAACCGCACGTTCCATGAAGACACAAGAGTAAGGGAAGACATGATCACCCCCTACAAAAATTTAGAGGAGCTGCCAGGGTAGTTTTGACAAACAATTTAGCATGGGTGGAACACAAAGTAGGAGGCCTAGGTGAAAACTTAGTACCCAAATGTTCAACAGTGACATTATAATTATTTTTCCAGATTTACAGTAGTTAACAAATGGAATGCGTTAGGCAGTGTTATGGTGGAAGCAGACTCCATACACAGTTTTAAATCTATAAGATAGAGCCCAAGAGGCTCAGGAATCTGTTCTCTAGTTCATTGACCGGTGAGTAGTTGGACCAAACAGTCGAAATTTAACCCCGCAAGCACAATTAGGTGTGCACAAACTTACCTTCTCGGTCATGGTAAATTTGTGCTTACCTAGACATAGCAAGATCCACCTAAACCCTCCCCTCTCAACACACAAGCACACCCGACCCTCCTGAACCCTCCCCTCACAACACACAAGCACACTCCACCCTTCTAAACCCTTCCCTCACAACACACAAGCACACCTTCCCCTCCTGAACCCTCCCCTCAAACATACAAGCACACAGCACTCTCCTTAATCATCACATCACAACACGCAAGCACACTCTCCCCTCCTGAACCCTCCCCTCACAAACACTCATTACCCTTTTCACTCAGCTTCACTAATGGAGATTTGGAGATTTCATATTAGCCTTTGTACTCTCGCTGCCTCTCATAATCACTCGCCACCGTCTTCACAAAGATTCAGAGTATTCCACGTTACCACATCTTCGCCATACGATACGAATAAAATATACCTACATGGAACCTTGTCGCCATTGGAGGTGAAGGAGACGTCGGTCTCTGATAGGCCTGTGATGTTGGCGTCGTTAACGAGTTGTTCAATGTGGTAGCGGCAGAGTTTTGGGTTGGACTGGACGAAGACTCTGCCGTTGTCGATGGTGAGGTTAGCAGTGTTCCACAGGGTCTGCAGGCTGGGGTTGTCAAGCACTATCAGCGAGTAACTGAGGGAACGGAAAGGAAATATCAAGAGAAAGCACCAGGCCATTACTGCTATGGAGCCCTTGGAAGGAATCAGAATAAAGATTTGATAAGGGTGGCTCCCTGTTGCACGGTCGTGGATTGAACGTGGACCTGCAAGAATGAGAGATCTACCACCTAGCCCAGTTGAGGGAAGAAAGAAACTGGGTCGTGGTTGGCGTCTAGTCGTACTTATATCTTTTAATACATTCCTGTGCCTCAATTTAGGTTGTTTACATATAATTTCGACAAGTAATTATATAATTTGAATAAACCACAGAATTGAATTTGAATTGACCACAGAGGTCAATACTTGTGATTTGGGCCATTTGGGTCTGTTGCAATGGAGCCGCAACAGCTACAGTACCAGGGGAAGGTACCTACCCTCTGCCGAGGAATAAATTTTGCTACAGAGTGTCGTGGGGGTTGAAGAGAAAGGCCACCTCTCACAGTGACGGTTTGTTTGGTGACCACAACGGTATCCCATTCACCTCAGAGACAGTGTCGACCTCTGGGGAGACGGGGTGAAACTAGGAATGACGACACGAGGTGTCTACATGCCGCTTCCAGTCATATGAGGTTATGGAAAGCGCGGGAGAGCCCAATGCCTGTGATTGATCAACAGGTGATGACGTCATAGAGTCTTGGCGGGCTAGTGAAGCGCCCAAGTCAGCAGTCGGTCGAGAACGTTCAGGAAGGAAGGACTGTCTCCAGGAGCTCAAAGACAGGCCTCTTTGCCCTATGGTCTAAGTTCAACAGTTTACCCCAAAACACCAGTAATACACAAGAACCGAAATAACTATTAATTACAGTGTGTCGAAGGATTTACCTACCATCAGAAGGATACAGGATTTACGACGCCAACGATGGTTCGAGGTCAAGCCAAGACCACTTGTGGCATATGTAAAGTGATTAGCAGTGTTGAATAACGAGGTGAGGAGTCACGTGGAATTTCAGGAGAAATTATTGAGTGACAGAAAAGGGATAGACAGTGTGACACGTAAGCTCGTATTTTGATCACAGTGGTAAGACTCAGTCACGTGGAGTCGCAGTGGAAGTGATTGTCAGTCAAGCAGTGAAGCATCTTTAGTGGCAATCAGCTATGAAATATCCCAAGAAGCAGGGTGGTAGGATTTGTCGAGAATGAACTAAGATGCCTGACCTCGGATAGTGTGTGTGTGTTGGAGGTGAGGTGGTGCCTGACTTTGGAGTGTGTGTGTTGGAGGTGAGGTGATGCCTGACTTTGGAGTGTGTGTGTTGGAGGTGAGGTGATGCCTGACTTTGGAGTGTGTGTTAGAGGTGAGGTGATGCCTGACTTTGGAGTGTGTGTGTTGGAGGTGAGGTGATGCCTGACTTTGGAGTGTGTGTGTTGGAGGTGAGGTGATGCCTGACTTTGGAGTGTGTGTGTTGGAGGTGAGGTGGTGCCTGACTTTGGAGTGTGTGTGTTGGAGGTGAGGTGATGCCTGACTTTGGAGTGTGTGTTAGAGGTGAGGTGATGCCTGACTTTGGAGTGTGTGTGTTGGAGGTGAGGTGGTGCCTCACCTTGAAGTGTGTATTGGAGGCGTTAGCGCGGTACCCCGCACACGGTATAAGTGAAAAGTGGTTCTCTTCTTTTCTCAAGAGCTATTGATGGTCGTGTCAAGGTGATTGACCAGCTCGCCTGGTCCAACCAAGTTATCTCCAAGGATTTATCATCTGTCATCGGGAAAGCTCGAGGTGTGAGTTCTATCCATCATTACTGTGGAAGATACAGTCTTGGGCTCCCTAGTTTAAATCCGTAATCTACCTGTCACCTGGAACATCACCAGAAGCGTGAATATAATGACTGAATATAAGTATATCACCCGGGCCATTTAATCGTTGTTACACTGCACGTTAAATTTTGGTGACTAGCAATCACCCAATCTCGGATCGATCAGAGTATATCTCGCGACGAGCTTTCTCTGTGTGGAATTCCAATGAGATTGTGGAAGCTAAGAAAATAGTTAGAGGGATAGAAGCCCTAAACCAGAAAATAATAAATACAGAATATATATATATATATATATATATATATATATATATATATATATATATATATATATATATATATATATATATATATATATATATATACATATATCTAGTCTGACATGACACTTGAGCGCGTTTCGTAAAACTTATTACATTTTCAAAGACTTTAGTTTACACATACACAACTGAATAGAACTTACACATCTCCGATTTGTTTATATCTACATTTGAGTGAGGTGGATGGGGTGAGGTGGTATTTAATAGGGTATTAAATTCATCAACACAAGACAGAACACGAAACAATGGGTATTGAATAGAAGTGATTGTAGAAAGCCTATTGGTCCATATTTCTTGATGCTTCTATATTGGAGCGGAGTCTTGAGGTGGGTAGAATATAGTTGTGCATTAATTGGCTATTGATTGCTGGTGTTGACTTCTTAATGTGTAGTGCCTCGCAAACGTCAAGCCGCCTGCTATCACTGTATCTATCGATGATTTCTGTGTTTGTTTACTAGGATTTCTCTGGCGATGGTTTGGTTGTGGGAAGAGATTATTTGTTCTATAATGGAGCCCTGTTGCTTATGCATCGTTAAACGCCTAGAAAGAGATGTTGTTGTCTTGCCTATATACTGGGTTTTTTGGAGCTTACAGTCCCCAAGAGGGCATTTGAAGGCATAGACGACGCTGGTCTCTTTTAAAGCGTTCTGTTTTGTGTCTGGAGAGTTTCTCATGAGTAGGATGGCCGTTTTCCTTGTTTTATAGTAAATCGTCAGTTGATCAGTAAATCGAAAAACAATTAATTCATGAAAACTTGGCTTATTAGGCAAATCGGGCCTTGCATAATAGGCTGAGAAGTGCGTTCTGGCTACTAGGTACGACATATATATATATATGTATATATATATATATTACCGAATATATATATATATATATATATATATATATATATATATATATATATATATATATATATATATATATATATATATATATATATATATATATATATATGTCGTACCGAGTAGCCAGAACGCACTTTTGGCCTACTATGCAAGGCCCAATTTGCCTAATAAGCCAAGTTTTCCTATATTAATATATTTTCTCTAATTTTTTTCTTATGAAATGATAGAGTTACCCATTTCATTATGTATGAGGTAAAAAAAAAAATTATTAGAGTTAAAATTAACGTAGATATATGACAGAACCTAACCAACCCTACCTAACCTAACCTAACCTAACCTATCTTTGTAGGTTAGGTTAGGTTAGGTAGCCGAAAAAGTTAGGTTAGGTTAGGTTACTTAGGTTAGGTAGTCGAAAAATAATTAATTCATGAAAACTTGGCTTATTAGGCAAATCGGGCCTTGCATAGTAGGCAGAGAAGTGCGTTCTGGCTACTAGGTACGACATATATATATATATATATATATATATATATATATATATATATATATATATATATATATATATATATATATATATATATATATATATATATATATATATTACCGAAAAAGTAAGATTAATAATTCTAACACGAATTTTCTCAATATTTCTTATGTTTCTTTTCACTGTCAATGGTAATTGAAAAATGAATTCTCCAAAATTCATTTTTATTTCTAGTGTGACGCGACACTTGAACGCGTATCGTAATAACTTATTACATTTTCAAAGACTTTAGTTTACACACACACAACTATAAACTGCAAACACAAAACAGAGTTCTACTATGCTATCATTTAAACAGCTTTCATCTCATATACCCGCATTTGGGTGAGGTGATATACTACAACAGTTTTGGATGAAGTGAACAAAACTTTCAACACAAGACAGAACATGGTGCAATGGGTATAAATTGGGTAAATTAAAGGGAAGAATTAAAGTAACTGCAAAGGGCCTATTGGCCCAAATTTCTTGATGCTTCTATATTGGTGCAGAGTCTTGAAGTGGGGAAAATATAGTTGTGCATTAATTAGCTGTTGATTGCTGGTATTGACTTCTTGATGTGTAGTGCCTTGCAGATGTCAAGCCGCCTGCTATCGCTGTATCAATCGATGATTTCTGTGTTGTTTGTTAAGACTTCTCTGGTGATGGTCTGGTTGTGGGAAGAGATTATATGTTACTTAATGGAGCCCTGTTGCTTATGCATCGTTAATCGCCGGGAAAAGATGTTGTTGTCTTGCCTATATACTGAGTTCTGTGAGGCTTACAGTCCCCAAGTGGGCATTTGAAGGCATAGACGATGTTAGTCTCTTTTAAAGCGTTCCGCTTTGTGTCTGGAGAGTTTCTCATGAGTAGGTTGGCCGTTTTTTTGGTTTTATAGTAAATCGTCAATTATATCTTCTGATTTTTGTCTGTAGGGATAACGTTTCTATTAACAATATCATTCAGGACCCTTTCCTCCGTTTTATGAGCTGTGGAAAAGAAGTTCCTGTAAAATAGTCTAATAGGGGGTACAGGTGTTGTGTTAGTTGTCTCTTTAGAGGTTGCATGGCGTTTCACCTTCCTTCCTATGATGTCTTCAGCGAAACCATTGGAGAAGCCGTTGTTGACTAGGCTTCTTGACTAGTTGCCTTACCCTACAGAGTTCTTCATCGACTTGCTTCCATCCTGAGCTGTGGCTGAGAGCACGGTCGACATAAGCGTTAACAACACTCCTCTTGTACCTGTCTGGGCAGTCACTGTTGGCATTGAGGCACATTCCTATGTTTGTTTCCTTAGTGTAGACTGCAGTGTGGAAACCTCTGCTTCTTTCCATAACTGTTACATCTAGAAAGGGCAGCTTCCAATCCTTCTCCATCTCGTAAGTGAAACACAACACAGAATTCCGCTCAAATGCCTCTTTCATTGCCTGCAGATGTCTGACATCAGGTACCTGTGTAAAAAGTAAAAATGAAAACTCACACCCCAGAAGTGACTCGAACTCATACTGCCATAAGCAATGCATCTGATGTACAGGATCCCATAACGACTC